GTTTCACTAATTTCTCTCTCAGGGAATCTGTTATTTGTGTACAAGAAGGCTATTGATTTTTGGGTGTTAACCTTGTATCCAGCTACTCTTCTAAAAGTGTCAATTAAGTCTAGAAGTCTTTTGGTGGAGTTTCTTGGATCTTCAATGTAGAGTATCATATCATCAGCAAATAATGACAATTTAACTTCTTCCTTTCCTATCTTTGTTGCTTTAACTTCTTTCTCTTGTCTAACTGCTGTGGCTAATGTTTCCAGAACTATATCAAAGAGAAGTGGTGATAGTGGGCATTCTTGTCTTGTTACTGATTTTAGTATGAAAGTTTTCAGTTTTTGGCCATTTAATATGATGTTGGCTGTTGGTTTCTCATAGATAACCTTTATGAAGTTGAGATATAGACCATCTATTCCAATTTTTTGCAGGCTTTTTTAAAATCATGAATGGGTATTGAATTTTGTCAAATGCTTTTTCTGCATCTATCGAGAGGATCATATCGTTTTTGTCCTTGACTCTGTTAATGTAGTGTATTATATTTATTGACTTATGTATGTTGAACCGTCCTTGCATCCCTGGAATAAATCTGACTTGGTCAGGACATATGATCTTGATTATCCTCCATATTCTGTTTGCTAGTATCTTATTAAGGATTTTTGCATCTATATTCATTAAGGAGATTGGCCTGTAGTTCTCTTTTTTAGTTGTGTCTTTCCCTGATTTGGGAATCAAAGTGATACTTGCTTCCAGGGATGAATTTGAAAGTATTGCTTCCCTTTCAATTTCATTGAAAAGTTTGGAGAGTAAAGGCAGTAGTTCTTCTCTAAATGTCTTGTAAAATTCAGCAGTGAATCCATCAGGACCTGGGCTTTCCTTTGTTGGTAAATTTTTAATTACATTTTCAATTTCACTGATTGTAATTGCGGTATTTAAAATGTTTTTATCTTCTTTGTTCAAATTTTGTATTTCATAAGTATCTAAAAATCTGTCCATTTCTTCTGTGTTTTCCATTTTGTTAGAGTACAGGTTCTCAAAGTAGATATTAATGATCCTCTGGATTTCTGTTGGATCTGTTGTGACTTCGCCTTTTTCATTCCCGATTGCATGGATCTGAGCCTTTTCTTTCCTTTTTTTTGATAAGGTTAGCTAAGGGTTTATCAATTTTATTTATTCTTTAAAAAAACCAACTCTTTGATTCATTTATTTTTTTGTATCATTTTCTTAGTTTCCATTGCATTGATTTCTGCTCTAATCTTTATAATTTCCTCTCTTGTTTGAGCTTTGGGTTTTTCTTGCCCTTGTTTTTCTAGGAGTCTAAGATTCATCATTAAGTTGTTTATGTGAGCTTGCTCTGTTATCCTAGTGTGGGCATTCAGTGCTATGAATTTTCCACATAGAACTGCTTTCATTGTGTCCCATAGATTCCTGAAGTTGTATTGGCATTTTCATGTGTTTGTAAAAATTGTCTAATTTCTTTAATTTCCTCTGTGATCCATTGATTGTCCAGGAGTGTATTGTTCAATTGCCATGTGTTTGTGAAGTTCCTACGGTTTCTTATGCTATTAATCTCCAGCTTGATTGCACTGTGATCTGTTAATATACAGGTCATAACTTCGATTCTTTAGCTTTTATTCAGACCTGTTTTGTGAGCTAGTATGTGGTCTATCTTGAAGAATGACCCATGTGTAGCCAAAAAGAATATATATTCTAATTTTGTGAGGTCTAACACTCTATAGACGTCTATTAAGTCCATGCATTCAAAAGCTTGGTTGAGTTCTTTTATTTCATTGTTGATATTTTGCCTAGATGATCTGTCTATTTGTGATAGTGGGGTATTTAGATCACCCACTACAACTGTATTAGTGCTTATTTGGTTTTTCATGTTACTTAATATTTGTTTTATGTAGTTGCAGGCATTAATATTTGGTGCATATATATTTATGATTGTCATCTCTTCCTCTCAAATTGTTCCCTTTACAAGGATGTAGTGTCCTTCTTTGTCTCTCTTAATCAGTTTTGGTTTGAAATTTACTTTGTCTGTGAATAAGATTGCTACCCCTGCTTTTTTCTGGGCTCCTGATGCATGGAGAATTGTTTTCCATCCTCTCACTTTCAGTCTATGGGCTTCTTTTTGCACTAGATGTGTTTCTTGTATACAACATGTTGTTGAATTTTGCTTCTTAATCCATTCTGCCAGTGTATTTCTCTTGATTGGTGAATTGAAGCCATTGACATTGATGGTTATAACTGATATTTACTGACTTATTATTGTAATGTTATTGTCTTTTTGTGGATTCTCTTTAATTTTTTTCTCTCTCCTTTCAGTTTCTTGCCTTGCCTATTTGATTTGGTCTGTTGGGCCCCATGGTGTTTTGACCTTCATTGTATTTTGCTAGGATATTATTTAGAATTCCTTGTAGTGCTTGTTTGGTGTTCATGAAGTTTCTCAGGTGTTCTTTGTCATGGAATTATCTTATTTCCCTATCCATTTTGAAAGAGAGTTTTGCAGGATACATCAGTCTAGGTTGGAGGTTGTTTTCTTTTAGTACTTGGAATGCCTCACTCCAGACTCTCCTTGACCTGAGGGTTTGTGTTGAAAAGTCTGCTGTGATTCTGATGGGCTTTCTTTTGCATATGATTTGTTTCTTTTCTTTTACTGCTTGTAGTATTTTGTTCTTCTTGTAGTATGTTGTATTTGGGTTTCTGGGATCTTGATTATTATATGTCTAGGTGTAGTTTTTTTTTTTTATCGTGGCTAGTTGGAGTCCTATATGTCTCACTTATCTGTATGTCAAATTCTTTCCCTCTGTTTGGGAAGTTTTCTGTCATTAATTCTGTGAAGAGCTTTTTAAAGTCATTTGTATTTTCTCCTGCTACTTCATGGATTCCTATCAGTCTTACGTTATTCTTCTTTGTATCATCTAGGAGTTGTTGGATCAATTTCTTGTGATCCCTCACTATTTTTAAGAGACCTCTCTTTTCATGGTCACTGACTGGAAGCCTATGTTCTATATCTGAGATTCTATCTTCGCATTCTTTTATTCTGTTGCATACACTTTCAATAGAGTTTTTAATCTCCTGGATATCTGTTTCAATCTGTTTTATGGATTTCATTTCTTTCCTCTGTTGGGCATTCTTGTTTCCATTTCTTTCTGTTGCTGGTCCTTCATGGCTTCTATCATGGTCTTGAGCTCATCTATTTTTTTTGTCAGTTTCTGCTCTAGAGTCTGGAATCATGACTTCCATTTTGCTCACCATCTCTATGGTTATCTGGGAAAATATTTCCATTTTGAATTTTTCTTGAACCCAATTGATCTGTTTTGTTACTTCCTGTGCTATGTGTTCAGGGTGTTCTGCTGGTTCACTATCAGACTTTTCATCCCTATGTGCCCTACTTTTTGCCATTGCTGAACTGGAGGTCTGTCTTTGTGTTTTGCTTAAGTGTTTTCTCATTTTTATTTTTGTTGTTGGGTTGTCCTTGGTTTAATTTATGTGTTGTTACTTAAATCTTCCTGATATAGTTGCACCTTAGCTTTTGAGTCTTTAATGACTCATAGACATTCTCATTTTCATAATATCAGAGAAAACAACTCATTAAATCAATCACAATCCTTTATCCCAATTGACGCAATCAGCAACACAATAGGATCAACTACAACTTTCAAATTGACCACTTGTGGTAGTTATTAATCTATCACCTTTAAACCATGTGAATTAAATTAAAATCAATAAGCAGCCCAAAATATGTTTGCAGTGAATAAACTTTTCAATATAGCATCTTTACCATTTAGGAGGGGGGCTTAGACAGAGGATAAGAGCAGTAGATAAGTGAAGGAATTGGGGATGGTTTCAAGTGAAGCCAGAGGACATAGAATGACCATATAATCTTTAGGAAACTATTAAATTCAAAAGGGATAGACAGAGTACAAAAATAAGGACAAGAATATATCCCTTTAACAGTAATAGGGGCTCACTTTCCCTTTAAACTATTAACCCATGAGTGAGGTAAAATGACAGAAGAAAAGAACATAAAGAAAAAAGAAAAAATGATAAAAGAAAAAATCTGAGTTAGGGCAGGAGCAGGAACAGAAAGGGAGATGAGGGATAATATGGTGGTGCAAGAGACTGAGTTGGAGAAAGAAAGAATTTGCAGAGTGGAGTGAGGAAAAGAAAGAGGAAGAAAATGAATTTGAAGGGCCTCTTTCAGACTATGTTTCTCCTGTTATAATATACAACGTGTGCAGCCATGTGCAGAGCCAAGTTCCCTGATCTCAGCTAGCCAATGGCAGATCCCCGTGACTCAGACTAATCTCAGGCTGCAACACCCAGATTGAGTTCCCTGACCTTCTGCAGGGTTGAACTCCACATAGTTCTATAGGTTTCCCCCACCCTTTCTTTAAAGATGTTCAAATCTGGGATCTAAGAAAAATACCCTTTATGACCACCTATGCCTCTGCAGAGTGGGTCCAAGGACTCACACAATCATGAGGTCTGAGAGCAGGGTGGGGGTGTGTTTCAGGGGCACCCACATGGCTACCTTCTTTGCTGGAGCTGGTGGTGGTGCAGGCAGGGGAGGGCACAGCTACCCCATCCTGTCGTATGGGCCCAAGCAGGTTGGAGGGAGAGCAGATCTCGGAGTGGCCTTCCCAAATCTCACCTTCTTCACTGGGGCTGGTGATACACAGCAAGTCATTTTTATATTAACCATAATTGGAAAGGCTAGATGAAGGAGATAAGTTATTTTCAAGTCCTATGATGCCTTCCCTGATTCCTTTTCTCTTTTACCTTCTGGTCATAATATGGACCAGCTCTGAAACCATGTCCTCCAGGTTAGAGCTAGAACAATAAATGACTGTGCATAGCTGTCATACATAATGCCAAATTATTTATATATGAATATTAATGTAATGATATATTGTTTAGAATATCATGTTTTTTTCTGACTTGGAAGAAAATATGAACATAGCCTGAAATTTCATCTAGCTAATGTATGTATATATTTGGATTAGATGAATGGAACAAGCAGATTTCACTTGCTTCTGTGGGAGACCAAGAGCCAGCAGGACATGGAGCACACGGTACATACATGCACTCTCTGCTGAGGTAAGCCAGATAGCACTTCTGACCAAACTGATGATGCCTTCCGAAAAAGATGAATTATCCAGTGGCCACAAGGCCAGATCTGCTTTACAGATGTGTTTGCTTGGCATGTACAGAGTTTTAAAGTCTGGCAATTTCTTACTACGTCTGGATTCCCAGTTTTCTTAGGAAATCAAAATTGCCTTGAGAAGCACAAATATTGCATTCCTGTGTGGTCACATCTAGCCAGGCTGGGTTGTGCCCAAACACAATATCCCACATCTCACACTCACTTGTTCCAGGGAGAACTTTCTGCTGAAACCCAGTGCATGCTCACATGAGAAAAGATCCCACCCATACCTAATTTGCCAAGGAGCAGAGTAGTTAAATTCAAAAGGGAATTTCATTGTTCCCTCTACTTGATCTTCATGAACTGAGAGATTTGGCTGTGATGAATTGGTCAGTTCGAATGCAGTAAATGCCACTTGTAGAGTATGCCACAGTGGATGAACTGCTTTCACATACAGCCTCTCATCTGACACCTGATCTCAGTTTCCTCTCCTGTAGAAACATAGACCCAGCTGGGGTTTATTGAGCACTTGTTTTGCATCCATCTTATGTATATATTAACTCATTTTCCATTGAAATATCACAAACAACCTCGTAAGATTGGTGTTCTTACTACCACCATTAGCTCCATCTGGCAGATGAGAAAACTTAGGCTCATAGAAATAAGTCATTTGGGGTGAAGGGAGGGCAGGGACAAGGGGGAAAAAATAAGAACCAAGACCTGTCATGTAAAGGTACAAGATCCCAATAATGAATATAACTGTACTGTATACCTAAAATAACTCAATGAAATAAACCAATAAACTCAATGAAAAAAAAAAAAGAAATAAGTCATTTGCCCAGCATCACATGTTGAATAAAAGATAGACCTGAGCTGGACCGGGTAAACATGATCATTTTTAGATTTCATGGGTAAGAATTATGTGATATTTGTCTTTCTGTGGCTGGGTTATTCCACTTAGAACTGTGTCCTTGAGATTAATCTGTGTTGTCACAAATGTCAGAGTTTCCTGCAATTTTATGTCCTAATAGTATTCCATTATATGTATGCTACATTTCCTAATCCATTCATCACGTGCTTCTTTATTAGCATATTAAGTGACAAGATATAGCAGAAGATGATGAGTAGAAATAATATTGAACATTTGTAACATGACATGGGAATATCAGTGATTTCTACTGGTGCCTCAGTCACTTGTGTCATAGTGGTTTGTTGTCTTTGTACATAATGAAAGAAAATGCTAAATTTTTAAAAATAGAGGTAGTGAAAATAAAGATAAAATTTTTATTTTTCCTGGTTTCCTCATTGGAGGCCTAGGGCCCTCAGGTTAAGAATTCTGTTGCCCACCAGTTCTAAGTGAAGGGTTTGTCTCTTGTGTGTATCCTTAGTGACACTGTCCCAAACACCTGGGGTATGTGTCAGTTACAGATTCTGAGCTCCATCCCAGCCCTACCAAACTAGAATCTTGGTGTGACTAGAGCCTGACATTCTACATTAAAAAAGAAAAGGCTTAATACCATTTCCACTGTGAAGGTGAACTGCCTGAGATGGCTTTGATCACATTATTAGTTGGTCATTTATAATTGTTGACATTAGATTTTAAAAATCCACATAAAAGACAATCTCACATGGTTGTTAAGTTTACTTCTAGCTCTAGCAGTCAATATTTTTTGTGCTTCCCCAAACTTCATTATTACTGTTGATTTATTTACTTAATAAGAGATATAGCTCTAATTCTTTTTTTGGAAAGGGAAATACAGATGACACCAGAGATAAGGGAGCTTATATGGCATAGCGGTGAAAACATTGTGCAGTTAGTTTCATTTCTGTCTTCTGAAGAGTCGGCATATTTACTTGCAGTGTCCATCAGCTTGGCATGTCAACCCAGTACCTGCAAGAATGGTCAGCAGCAGGTATCCTTACTGAGGGCCTGGAACTGTGTTTTGCATGGAAAAGAAAAGAATATGGGGTGGTTGTTTGACCCTGTCCTCTCTCTGCATTTCCTTCCTAGAAAAGTGCTAACCAGCCATGGAATGTGGGCCAGTTGTTCCTGGGCCACAGATGGTGAACACAGACATGGTGTTCCTGGTGGACAGTTCCCATGGTGTTAGCGCTGAAGTATACCTTGTAGCTTTAGGTCTAGTGGCTGCTATGCTTGATGACCTGGAGGTGGTTGCACAGATGAACACATCCTACCGTGGAACACATGTGGTCCTGGTGACACACACAACTCTGGAATTCTGATCTGGCTCTGGTCAATCCTCTGTGCTTGAGAGCTTCCAACTGACCTCCTATGGCCTCTGGGCACAGATGCAGAAGCAAGTCCCCGAGGCTGCAGGCTGCCTAGTAAGGGGAGCTCCTGTCCTGGGTCATGCCTTAGAAAGGACACTAGAGAAGATGCTTCTGGCAGCTCCACTGCTACGGAGGGCACAGGTCCTCTTCTCCATTGTGGGCAGTGAGACAAGCAGCTGGGACAGGGAAAAACTAAGGACTCTGTCCCAGAAGGGAAACTATAAGGCCTTCACCTTGTTTGTGCTGGCATTGGAATCAGGCGTAGGAACCCAGAAGCTGTCTGAACTGGCCCGTGTGGCCAGTGTCCCCTCTGAGCAGCACTTGTTGCACTTAGACTGGATTTCAGAGCCAGGGGTAGGCTATGCCTGGGCATTTACATAGGCTTTCCTGAGCCTCCTAAAAAGTGAGCAGTTCCAAGTGTTGGGATACCCTAGGTGGGATGGGGGAAACTTACAAAGCTTGCCATTTGGGCAGGTAGATGAACACTATACCTTCATCCTTGCTGAGTTTATGCAGCCTAGTGGCCTTGGGGATCCCCAGGCCCTGACATTTTGTCAAGCTGGGTGCTGGGAACTCCTCCTTACCTTCTCATCTGGTAGCTGAGATGCTTCAGTCTTCTACACAACTTCTCAATTTTCTCATTTATCAAAAAGAGAATGGCAGTCTTTCCCTAATTATGCAGACATATGTGCATGAAGGGGCTTTGAATACTGTACAAATACAAGGCATAGTTTATGTTATTACTATTCACCACCATTTCTGTGGTCTATGACTGTGTTCCTCAGATTTTAACTTGCACATGAATCTCCTGGGGATCTTGTTAAATGTGGATTCTGGTTCAGTGGGTCTGGATTGGGGCCTAGGAGCCTGCATTTCTTACAAGGTCAACAGTGGTGTTGATGCTGCTAGTCCCTGGACCACATTTTTTTTTAATTTTATTGAGTTTATTGGTACATTTTAGGGATACAGTACAGTTATATTCATTGTTGGGATCATGTACCTCTACATGGCAAGTCTTGATTCTCATTTTTTCCCCTTTCCTCTGCCCTCCCTTCACCCCCTCCTCCCCTCCCCATCTACAAACACTTTATTTTCATCTTTTCATTCTCTCACATTTTTTTCTTTTCCCTTTTTCTTCTTCCCCTACGCATCACACCTTCCCTACACCTTTAGCTCCTTTCTTCAAATTTCTAAATGTCAGTAATCTTATTAGAATCTTATGCATTGTTGCAGAATATTCACACCAGGGAAATTATTTGGTATTTACACATGTGTGAGTTATTTATTTCACTTAGGAGTATATCTTCAACATGTATCCATTTTCCTATGAATGAATCTATTCTCTCGCTCTTTATGGCTGAGTAATATTCCATTTTATAGAAAAACCACAACTTCTTTATCCAGTTTCCAACGGATGGGCAAATAGGCTGTTTCCAAGATTTAGCTATTACAAACTGTGCCGCTATAAACATGGGTGCACATACTTCTCTGTGATATGATTCTTTTAGTTCTTTTGGAAAGATACCCAG